TTAGGGATGAAATGAAAATTAAGCTCCAAAACGTATTAGAATTGATATGAAAACGACCCGACCGAACCGAGTGTTTTGTTTCTTATTCTAACCTAGATCAAACTTAGTATGAGTTGGAAAATGAGGGCTCATGAAAGTTGACCAAAGACCCAACAAGGTTTTAGAGTGATGCGTTAAAAACGTGGGGAAAATAATACAGAATGGTTTCATTATCACAAAGGGGTTTGTGTTATTATAAAAGAGATGTGATATCATAGTGGGAGATGGAGACTGCAATAGCAAATGAGGTCCAGCCTGGGCGGATAGCAATGCATCACCGCCTGATATTGCCTAGCCTCGCCGTACTGCTATGCGCTGGCCGCCCCCAATGGGTACCACCGCCCACCTTCCTCCGCCCTTACAAACCCTAGCAACCTTTTTCCTTAAACAACCTATGATATATATATATTGTAATGATGTGACTTTCTCGACGTCGATCGACTCGAGTCGCTACGCCATGCAGGTCTTTGTCATTTTAAAGCTGATAAACGTAATTATTATTTTTTAATTAAAATAAATAAAGTTTGTTCGGACTTCCCCTTTAAAATATTTGGATATACAAATTTGAACTAAATAATCTTTGTAACGTATATCGAAATGATTGAACTACAAATCCGTTCCGTAACACATTACAAAATTAATGTAACTCACGAGCATCAAGGTAACACATTACAAAATTAATGTAACTCACGAGCATCGAGGAGATTTTTAAAAGTTTGTTGGGTTCAATACTTTATTTATGATGTCCGAGAAAATAACGACCCAAAATCAAATAACTGTGTTTGGTATCTCAATATTTTTAACCATTTTATTACATGTTTTAATTTTAGATTATTAAAATTTATTGTAATTTCAATTCATATACCCTAAATTTTAGGATTTTAAATTTATTTGGTAATAAATCTTAATAATTAATTTTAAATAAATAAATTTTATAAAATTATATAAACAAATATTTAGTATTAAAAAAAAATTAAAAAAAATTAAATATTGTATAGGATGAAATATCAATTATGTTAAATGATTATTTATATGGGAACGAAGGGTTATCTTGATTTATTAGAAATTGAACAAGTAAAAAAAGTTCTCGTTGAGTTACGTACTTACGTAAAAATGAATAAACTCTAGTTTTAAGAAATAATATCTTCGACCAACACATTCACCCCTGAAGCGGAAGCCCTTTTGAAAGAAGCTATTTAGGAACAGATGGAACGTTTCTAGTTCAAGACCAAGTATAAAAGAAAACAAGTAAGGTATACGCTCATCGTCATGCACCGCCCCTTATTCCGCTCTGCATTTACCTTAAAAAAAATGTTTTGAAAGGTTGAGCATTATAAATATTCAATAAAAATCTCCGGTTAGGGTTAAATATGAACATACATAGTCTAGCATAAATTTGAGGACCTAAAATCATTCAACACTGGGCCATCTAGCCTATAACCTTGCTCGGAAATAAAACCCAAAGTGAACTTGAAGATATTATTCATCTAGCCTCGGACCAAGTCTCAAACACATGGACCATTTAGGTTTTGGCAAAAGTTAAAACCCTAATCTTCTAGCTTGGGTTCATGAACCAAAATGTAGGTCATCGAACCCGTGACTATGGTGGTACAATTAACTCGTTGTTAACAAGTAATTGTCACAATTTTATTTCATAAATATCATGTCATATAATAAATGCAATCCATCTTATAAACATTTTAAAATGACGTTTTTTAATGTATCACAACAATCGCAGTACAAACAAAATGCACGTGTACCTAATTGTTACGAAGGGGCATTCAGTAGGAAATTCACTTACTTTAAAACGCTAGTTTTGTAGATACGGTAGATTCCTCTCTTGACTCACAAAGTGTAACAACTCAAGTTCACCGGTAGCATATATTGTCTGTTTTGACCCGTTACGTATCGTCGTCAACCTCCCGCTTCTTAAAACGTGTCTATTAATGACATGTTTTCACATTCTTATAAGAAGTGTTTCATTCTCCCTCTCCAACTGACGTGGGATCTCACAATCCAGCGTTCTTGCTGGCACACTGCTCGGTGTCTGGCTCTGAATACTAAGCCTAAGTCAATCCCTCGTAATACTTTTAACACGGCTTAATCTCCTATTACTTTAGTCTCCAAGCCAAAATTTTAACAAATTCTCCTCCAAATCCTGAATACAACGTATGTATCGGGTCGATGACTTATTTCTTTAACCATTACATATGAAACATATCACGTCTCACGTATATCAGTGGTGACAAGATCCCTTTACAACTAATAGATCAATGCACCCTAAAAATCGAAAATAAATTTCCTCCACGAATTCTTTAGAATATCACTGTAACACCAATAATTTAGCTTGTGGGAGCTTATCGAAAGGACGAAGAAATTTCGATTAACGAAATTGTGAGAGATCACTCTTTAGCTTAGACCTAGGTCCTGTTTGTAGAAATTTGAGAGGAATCTTTGACATATTTAAAATAAAATATCTCAATATATATTTAACCAATTTAAAACATATATTTTTGTCTCTAAAATATTAATTTTAACCTTAAATCAAATATATTTTTTTATCATAAAGATATATTAAATATTAATTTAAATTTTTAAATTTTTTTTAATATAACTATGAGCTTGTATGAGCTTGCCTGACAGTGTGAACCTATCAATTATAAGTTCCAATGACACAAAATTAATTAATTAATTTTTTTAATCAATCTATTTCGTATATAAATTATAGATCACTCCACGACCTATAGCTGAACTCTCATGCACGGTAGGATAAGTTGTGTCTGTGGTTTTGTATTGTACCGCCGGTCATTATCGGTTTTTTTTTCTTTTTTCTCTAATATTATTTTTTTTTTTAATTTCCCAAAAAATTTCCCCCCAAATTTTGGGTACTACAAGGTATCTTTGCGCCCACGCGGGACATATGTCGTAGGGGGCAAATCGAAGAATTCACGGTTGAGGTTTATGCTCGAAAGTCTTGTAATTAATTATTAATTTTTCAATAATAATTTTAATTGTTTTATTTGAGAAATTCAAGGTTATTAATGTAATTTTGAAAACTATATGATCGACATAAGATAAGCAATAACCTAAATGATCTATAGTATATTGATATGGTTAGATGTCTTGTCTTGGTAACACGTTCGATACGTCCCACTATGTAATTTTTACAAATAATTTGATTCAAATCGTTCATGTAGAGACATGTGAGTAGAGATATCTTATACAATGAGTTTAATCTCTACTCATGGACAAAAGGCTGAACCATAAAATATTTAATCTCTTTTTATAAATCTGTTAATTGAGAAAATTAATAGTTCACTTGATGATCATATGTGCCTCGATCTTGAGTGAGTTATGAATAATGTCTATGATGGCTTGTCCTTTGATTTACACGGGTGAAAATGACTTTTGTAGCCGATTCAATATGTCTACCATTTTGGGGACTTGACCAAATAAGAAACGGGAAACATAAGTACACTATCTAGTCTCACCCTCTCACACATCCGAGATGTACTTGATTTATAGTTGGATCATAAATCAAATATTCATTAAAAAAAATCAGTGGTACAATACTTAAGGTGTAAGATATAATTATAGAGGTAAAACGAACTTTTGACCCAATTGTAATTTAAATCAACTCATGAAAGATCTATTTGCTTGTAATAATTATCTCTATCAATGGACACAACATGTTCTACCGTGTAACTCTAAATATGTAGCAGAGTAACCGCTAGTTAATGAATGAAAATTGATTAATTAAATAGTTCAATAGATTAATTTTGTACCATTTTAGCTTACAAATATGTGGGCCATTACACTCCTCGTTCCATTAACACTTAAAAAATCAATCTAGTTGAAATAAAAAAATTTGAACGGTTCAAATTAATATTTAATATAATATATATATTAAATATATATAAAAAATAGATTTAATTTGAAGCATTTTTAAATAAACTGTTTTTATTATTTTATTTTATTTAGAAGTGTTACACATATAATAAAGTATGTGAGATACACTTAGAATTTTTTTTAAAAAAATATATATAAAATTTTAAAAGTATCGTTAATATCCTTAATCTAGACGAATTTTTTTTATAATAAGTCTTAATTTTATGAAAATGTTGATATTAATAAATAAGTTTAAAGAATTATAAAAATATAGAAATTATTATATTTTATAATAAGCATGTTCATTATTCTAGGCAAGTAAAACAATTTTTTTTTTATTAATATTGGGTTGTATTTTCTTCCCACTTTAATTATATTTAATCAATTTAAATCCAATTAGTATCAATTAATTAATTAGATTGAACAAAGTTGTTAGATAGGTTCATATGACTCGATAATCAAAATGACCTGGGCTACGCAACCTATACCATACAGATGGGTTGTGTTAGATTTTTTTTATTTGGGTCGGGTTGAATTTATGGAAGTAAAAAATTTTCGAGTCGATTCTTGGGTTGACAATTTTTTGGTCGGGTAATTTGTAAATAGGTTACAATCCAGTTGGGTTGACAATTTTTTAGTCGGGTAACTCGAAGATAGGTTACAATGCAGCTGTACTTTTAAGGTTATTATGAAACTTTATGAAATTTTAGTTATTAACGTAACATCTATTGTGAATAATTTTCGAGTCGGGCAAATCGAAAATAAGTTAAAATCTAACGGTACTTATATTATGAAAATTTATGAAATTTTAGTTATTAATGTAACATCTACGGTGGATAAGTATGATTTATTTAAGTAATAAAAGAAAGAACAACCCGACAACTCAAAACAATTTAATTTGAGTTGGATTGAGTCGTGAACTTTTTGTCCATGGTGTTCGGGTTGTTTGGGTTTGTGACTCTGACCAATAGTGGTTAGCTTGAGAAAGCTTTGTGAAAGTCACTGCAATGGGCTCAAATTGGGCCGATATCTGTTCAAGCTTTGGTCGGCCCTTAAAATGAATCCAATGGTGGATCTCCGGTGAAGATTGATTCGCACGACGACGCTGGCGGCATCATCCGCCAGAACAATTCTTTATTCCAAAGCTTGATTACCTTCCCTCTCTGCCTACTGGACATTTGTGTATGCGCATGTGCTCTCCTCTCTGCTTCAGATCCCATCCGTCCTAGGTCATCTACTTCGACGGCGTGATTATTCAGTCTGGATGCTTAACTTACCTGTTGCATAGCTTACTCACTCCACATTGCTGAAATTTTGGTAAAATTTCTTACTCTCACTTTGTTTGCAGCAAGCGAACAGATGAGTATGGGGAGCGAGGAGAAATGGTGCGTTGTTACTGGAGGGAGAGGTTTCGCTGCACGACATCTCGTTGAGATGCTGATCAGTTCCAAGATGTTTTCCGTTCGAATCGTTGATTTAGGCTCCTCCATTGAATTGGAAGCAAGCGAGGAGAAAGGGATTCTCGGAGAGGCATTGCGTTCTGGTCGTGCTCAATATGTTTCAGCCGATCTTCGTGATAAAGCTCAATTGCTCAAAGGTTGTGATTTTTTTTCTTGAACCTTTCTGTCAACGCTATTGATTTCTGTTTTATTCGTGAAATGTGGTTGTAATGTCAATTTGAATGTTGCAGCGTTTGAAGGAGTGGAGGTTGTCTTCCATATGGCTGCTCCGAATTCATCCATTAACAATTACAAACTTCATTATTCGGTCAACGTTGAAGGTACGAACTATTTGGTTTAGCAATTCTTCTTTGATGTGCTGATTATTGTTATTGTTTACTTTGCTTTTCAGGAGCCAGGAATGTAATTGATGCTTGTGTCGAGAAAAATGTAAAGCGGCTAATATATACTAGTTCGGCCAGCGTAGTGTTTGATGGGATAAATGGACTTGTTAATGCAGATGAGACACTGCCTTACGCATCGAAGGTACTAACTCCACTGACGTTTCTGCTCATTTCATCAATAATTGGACTTTCTGTTCAGTGATTTTCGTTGCTTGTTGCAAATTTTCATTGACCGTACTGCTTGGACAACGTTTGTCCACTGTTTCAGCACAATGATTTCTACTCTGCGACTAAAGCTGAGGGGGAAGCTTTGATCCTCAAGGCAAACGGCTTAAATGGACTTCTAACATGCAGCCTAAGGCCCAGTGGCATCTTTGGCCCTGGTGATAGGTTACTGGTTCCATCCCTAGTTGCTAATGCGAGGGCAGGGAAATCCAAGGTAAGCATGTTCATTATTTTTGTTAGTTTTTTTTTTGTTTTGTTTTGGTAAGAAACACATTTCCATCCAAAGACATGAAAGAATATACAAAGTATAAAAAACCATCCCCAACAGAATATTGAGGCGAGTCGGGCTCTAATTACAGAAAAGAACTCAAATCCCAAAGAATAAGAGCAAGCTCCCAATGACGAAAGGACCTAGTGACACTCACAAAGAGGCGCTAATCCTATCCGCTTCCTGACTTCCTGACCAATCTCTCAATCTTCTAGAGATTCTATTTAAGTTCCATTTTAGTTTTTTTTCACTTTGTCAAAAATTTTCTGACGTATAATTTGGAACTTGGAGTCTTGGAGCTACTTCTGTCATCAGGCTCTTGTTTAGATACCAAAATATTATATTTATGTTTTTATAAGGCTTTCAGCTTGCCCCTAATTTTAATCCTGAAGTTGGCAGTGGACAAGCAATCAAAATCCAAGATCTCCATTTCCCATTGAAGCCCTTAACAGAATGATATCTCAAAATGACCAATGTACTTTGTCGCATACCTTTTCAATTTCAAGTTCAAGCACTAGCCTTTTCATGGTCGTTTTGCAGTCATCAATTAGCTAGTTAGCAAGAATAATGGAACCAACCATTTGTCTTTCCTCTTTATAGAGGCCAATAACTAATAAGCCTTAATTAAATGATGTAAATCTGTTATTGTTTTAGCTATAAAAAAGACTATTCTTTCGTTTTAGTTTTATACCTCCTGCTACCATCTAAGATTAGACTGATTTGAGATTTTAGATTGATGTTGCTCTCTCTTATCCTAGAGTTTACAACTTCATCTGGAAAGTCGTAGAACACCTTGATAAAATCAACCTGGATGACATTTGAAGTCCTTGGAGCGTTGTTGGATAATAATTTTTTTTGTCACTCCATACCGGAGAGGAAGCTATGACTGCCTACTGGAAAGGAACCCCCCGGTAGAATTTAAAAACTATCCCAAAAAACTTGAAAACTTTTGATACAGGTTAATGGTCTCCCTTCCACATCCAAATAATTGGTCATAAGAAATCTCTTGGTAAATGAAACTCTTCTTCTTTTGCTTTTTAACTTGAAGGTGGAATCAGAAAACAGAATCTTCAACACTGTTTTAAATGTTCATCTTGTTATTGCATCTTTGCCTTCACATAGTGTCCACCTTCTTCCCTTTCAAATGACACTTTCTGCATTCTCTTTGGTACACACCCAAGCTGCTCAATAGAAAGACCAACCACCTGTTCTCCATGCCATCCAAAAAATGAAGCTCGGAGTAAATGGCATCCTTTTGAGCTGCAATATTACCATGTATTACACAGGGATTAATTGAAATTATTTTTATTTTCATTTGTCTTATAGCCTAATTTATAATAGCATTTGATCTAATCCCCTCTTCAAGATTATAGGATGAATTTGATTTGCTGTTCCTCTCTTCTCAAAATCCTATGTACAAATACATATATATGTTATTATTATTATTTTGAACAAGAAACAACTTTTATCAATAAATGAAAAGGAAGATAAGTGTTAAAGGATACAAGTTCCAAAGAGAACGAAGAAAATAAAAAACAGGCCTACAAAATATGTATGGGAAGTCTATACGGTTTTCTTTCTATCGCCCTATGCAATTACATTTCATAAAAAAAAAAAAATAAAAAAAAGTCATGGCCTTCATTGTAATTGTCATGTGTTTTAAAATTTACAGTTCATTATTGGTAAGGGCAACAACACCTATGACTTTACTTATGTTGAAAATGTGGGACATGCTCATGTGTGTGCTGAGCGAGCTCTAGCTTCAGGAGGAATGATTGCAGAAAAAGCTGCAGGGCAGGTACCTCTGTCAGTGTATGGAACGACTTAATTATATTCAGTTATCCTGGTCTTCTCTGTCTAATGAATAATCGAATTGTAGTATTGCATGACATATATAATTTTTCCTACTGGACAAAGAATTTATAGAAGTTGGGTTCTTGTTTCTTTTTTTTTTCTTTTTTTTTAAATGTAATGGATGATAAAACAAAAATCATAGTTTCGTCACATTTAGTTCTTGGTTATAAAACATTGGAATATTAATGGTATGCTTATCTCTTGTCTTTGATACTCTCATTATAATAATTTTCATTGTGCATATAGCACCAGTCTAGCAGCAAATTAACATCTTTGACATATGTATTCAGTACTTGTCCTTGAGCATAGGAGAAATTGTGATGTTAAAGTATTTACTGCAGATCAATTAATAAAAAAGCAATTTAATGGATTAAACTCAGGACTCTCAAGGAAGCTTAATTGTTGTCAAATTTGTTGCTAGTAAAGTTGAACATTAGGGTTCGGTTAATTTCGAACTTAAATGTAAAATAGTAAAATAAAAGAGAAACTTCTAGAAGTTGGTTAGAAGTTATAAGAACTTTTAGGGAGTCAATCTCAAAAGCAATAGTTGACCTGGTCAACGTAATTGAAAGAGTGATTCTATTTAAATTAATTTATAATCAGTTTTATCAAACACTCGAAACAGTTAAATACCCCCATAGTCACATTTAAGGCCGGAAGAATCAATCTCAAAGGGAGCTATAGTCTTAAATTAATTTATAATCAATTTTACCGAACACTAAACACAATTAGAATTTCTCCATAATCACTTTCAAGACCTGCAAAATCAATTTTAAACAGAGCCTTAGACTAAACTTGAAGGTCTTTTGTAGGCTTATTTCATAACCAACATGGAACCCATAAAGTTTTGGGAGTTTGTCTCACTTATACTGGATGGCCTTGGCTATGAAAGGTATTCTTTATTGTAATTTAAATTTTAGCCCCTCTGATCATTTGGTTTTCCAGCCATCTTTATCCTCGTCTTGGTAAAGCTAAGATATGCTGTATTGACATCTTGCATTCTCTGAGTTGCAGGCCAAGAATAAAAATCCCTGCCTACCTAGTGATGCCGATTGCCCATATGGTGAACTGGATTTATACGCTTTTAGGTCCTTATGGAATGCCTGTTCCACAGTTTACACCTTCCCGTATAAGACTCCTCTCTTGTTGTAGAACTTTTAACTCCTCAAAGGCCAAGGATCGACTTTTCTATACCCCCATTGTTTCACTTCAGGTTCTTCTATGTTTTATTTGTTGCATATACTTTTTTCTTGTGCATGTTAACGCTATTTTTTTAACTCTCTACTATACTCTTTAAATGCCTTCCTTTGATGATGTTTCTGTAGGAACTAAAGAAAACCATGTGTATTTTGCTCTACTGAAACTCAAGATCTGACAATTCCATAATCTGATGAACTAGGTCTAGCTTATTTGAACTTTCATATTTCTTTTATGGGAGCTTATTGATTATTAAAAAAGGGAAGAGCGATGACTTGTCCAAGTTAAACTTAAAGTGGAAATGTGTTTATATTTCCTCCCACTGGATCAGTTTCACTGGGTCTGATGATCTTTTGGGACATTTTAATTATGTCAATTTTAGTTTTCTTGTCCAAATACGAATGTTCTTGCTGCAGTGAATTGTCTAATTCTTGTAATTAAGGACCTCTTGAAGTAACTTAAAGTGGGGGTGTCTTCTTGTGGACTTCTGAAGAGAGGATTAATAGGTTTTCGATGTATTTTTACTTTTCTCCATGGTGCAAAGCTTCCGTGAGTGCATGGTTAAGGAGTAAAAAAAAACTCCTTGACATAATTTCTGATATGTTCCTGAAAATAGTGACTACCATCACTGTCAACAAATTTGAATATGGGGTATAGTAGACTTTGCCTCTTGCTGATTATTCAGAAATTCACTATATTCAAACATGCTTACATAGCCATGCGATGCTGTGAATGATCATGATTTATGCTTAAAATGCAATGGTTATTCTTCACACTGGATCTACAGAGGACATGAATGTCCATGATTACACCAACACTGTCAGTTAATTTGAATGTAGAGTGTTACTGCACTAGTCTTACCTTGGTATCTGATCTATCAGCAATTCACTATATTTACATTTTTTTACATCAACTTTAAACATGTTTACAAAGATATGTGATGTGTGAACAGTCATACTCACTGCTTGCAATGCAATAATTATACCTCGCACGAGTGTGTCTGCAGTATATGAACATCCATGCTTATTACCATTACCAATTAATATGAGTATGGGGTATTAATATACTCGTCTTAGCTTGCTATTTGTTAAGTCAGCCATTCACAATATTTAAACATGCTTACATAGCCATGTGATGCTCTGTACGTCCATGATTGAGGCTTAAAATGCAATAGTTCTTCACAGGAGGGTATAGAAAGGACAATAGAAGCCTACTCCCATTTAAAGGCTGTGCATCAGCAAAAAAGAGAAGGGCCATCCAAAGCCTCAATATACCTCAGAGGAGGAACGGGTATGTGTCCTTTTATTCTTTTTCTTTTTCTTTTTTTCTAGAGAAGAATTTTGAAGTTTTATTTCATTTCCTCTATTTAGGGATGCCAAATTCCCCATGGGGTCTGGTCATGCAAGTCTCCAACCCGATCGGGATGGGGAATCTCTGGTTTGACTGGGTACAGGGGTCAAACCGGGCATTTAATTATGGTCCCCGGTTGGGGTCAGGGCTGGGATGGGGAGGCGATGCCCACCGTGTCCTCGTCCCCAATCTATTTTTTAGTTTTAAAAATATATATAATATATTATATTTATTTAAAATAATTAATTTTATAATAATAAAAAATGTTAAATATAATTTAAATTAATTATTTAAGTAAATGAAACAATAATAAATACTAACTTTAACATGCATAAAAGTATATATCATTTTAATTAATTTAAAAATGAAAATGACAAAGGGGGATCTTTCCCGGTTGGGGTCAGGGCAAGGATCTTTCCAAGTCAGCCTTCTTACCCACAGAGATGGGGCACCAATTGAGGCCCCTCAATGGTGGGTTTGGTATTCACCTCCAAGGCATAGAGGTTAGAGAAGAAGATAAAATTTACTCTTCAATCTCCTTATCCCCCTTAACCAACTCCCCCTTAGTTCTCCAAAGATCCAATGAAGTACTTTCTTCGTCTGCTAGTCGCCATTCTAAAACAGAGTTACAGTCCCAAAAAATGAGATGGATCAAGGATGGGACTTGTAACTTTGTGTTTATCCATAAAATGGCTAATCGCAGAAAAAGTAAGAACTTCATTGGGTCTTTGGAGAAAGATAGGGGGAGTTAGTGAGAGGGATAAGGAGATTGAAACTTTTGTCAGTTTGGCCAGGCCAAGGAGCTCAATTCCATGTTGGGGGAGTTTCTTTCTCATCCTCCCTCTCGTGAAAAGTGCGGCCTGCTATGGTTTGTTTGTCTTTGTGCTATCTTTTTGGTCTTTGAAGGTAAAGAAACAATATGATTTTTAGAGGGTTTGAGAGAACTGTGGGTGAGGTGTGGTCCCTTGTTAAATTTTATGCCTCTTTTTCAGTCCTTGGTTGTAAAAACTTTTGTTATTATGCTTTAGGTTTTATTTTCCTGAGTCCCTTGGTTACTTGGGCCCTTCTTGAGGTGTTTTTTTTTTTTTTTTTTTTTTTTTTTTTTTTTTTTTTTTTTTTTTTTTTTTTTTTTTTTTTT